CACAATGAAAGAAAACCTTGAAACCTAGACTCAACCAAACCCTGGGAGCACAGATACATGGCTCCCTCTGGCAGTAAAGCTTACAATCACCATTCTTTTGTGTTTGTGCCTTGGTGTGGTAGCTATTTTGGAGAACAGGTTCATAAAAAACTCAGCAACCGTGTTTGGCCTCCCAAGAAACCAAATATCATATCCTAGCATAGAGAGGGCCAAAGAAGTCATGGTGGGAAGATCAAAAGAGCACCACGTGCTCTCTTTATGGGTAAAAGCTGAATTGTTCATGAAAACACATTTAAAACCTGGCAAGGTAATAACTCTGTGTCACTCTAAGAAAATAAGCAGATGTCTGTTATGTACATTGTTTCATATATTTTGCCTTTCCTACCTGCTGCAACCTTTTGCAGCAAGGATTCAGAATCTGGAGAAGGGGCCAAGCATAAATGGACATACTATATAAGAAATATAAATTTAGAAATTACTGGGGGAACCAGGCGGAGGCCCTTCTCTAGTAGAATGGCTCTCTGAATGTCTGTACCCATAGCTTTTTTTTTTTTTTTTTTTTTTTTTTTTACTAGAATATACATTTGCTCTTTAGCAAACCAAACAGACATATCGAAGGTAAGGTTTGGTAAACAGTACAAGATTATCAGGTTAGGAGATTGCCTTCAACCATAACACTTGGTGCATAGCTTTTAGCCCTTGCTAGAGCCCAAGGTCCATCAGCCTTCTGACTGACCTCTCACATTTATTACGCTAACTACTTAGTCTTTGCCTATCCCCTCATTGAGTTCCTAGAATGAACCCATATAAACTCTTACAATTTAAACACAAGGTTTAAAGGTTTCAGCAATTCAGCATTTCCTTCTCCTTAACCAGTCTGACATTTTCTTCCTGAAGTCTGTCTTTCTTCATGTATTTCTATATTGTACCATCATGGCTCTGCAAACTACTGCTTTTCTAACATTTTAGTTTTGAAAAATTAATAAACTTCTACATATTCATTCAAGCCATTTTCACATCTCTTCATTTCAGTACTTTTTTTTTTTAACCCCTTGTTATTTTTTCACTGCTTCTGAATTCCCATTCCTTGGACAATTTCACCATTATCCTTGAATAGAATCTGTCATCTCCAAGCATTCTCATAAACTCAAATCCATCAAAATCATTGCTTTTTATGCTGTCTTTATTTTTAACTTCTTTCATGTTTTGTACCATTACCTTTTGATTTATGACTAACTCATGCATTCATTATTTTCATTCTCCATTCTTCTCAATATCCACCTTAACATGTTGTTAAATTTGTATTCTCTACTTAATGCTTAAAACTGAACTGACCTCACATAAGTCCTTTCTTAATTTTGACTTTTTTTTTAATCCTGCCTGAGGATTGCGGATATTTTTTCCCCCATTGATTTTTAGAGAGAGTGTAAGGGAGGGGGGAGCATGAAAGGGGGAGAAAGGGAGAGAGGGAGAAGAAGAAGAAGAAGAAGAAGAAGAAGAGAGAGAGAGAGAGAGAGAGAGAGAGAGAGAGAGAGAGAGAGAGAGAGAGAGAGAGAATAGAGGGACACATTGATTTGTGGCCTCCACTTGCGCCCCAACCTGGGCTGGGGATTGAACCTGCGACCAAAGTACATGTCCTTGACTGGGAATAGAACCTGTGACCCATTGGTCCACAGCCTGATGGGTGCTCTAACTACTGAGCCAAACAAGCCAGGGCTAAACCTTGGCATTTTTATGGTTACTCACATTATAGTAGTAATATTAGATTGCATTTTTAAGCATCGTCTGTATGGACGGTATAATGTGGCTCAAACAGCTATCACTCTGCTGCTTCCAGTGGTGACTTCACTTGTCTGGTTGTTCATTTCCCACTTGAAAGCTCCATGATAGGGTCCTGTTAATGATGTTGCTCATTCATACAGAAGGAATAAACTCTCCAGACAGAGTAAATCCAGCTTTCAGTCATGAGTGGCTATATTCCCCAACTTTCTACTTCTCACCCTGTCCTACTCGGCGTTGCTGATTCCCTTCCACAGTGCTACAGCTTCTGAAGTAATTCCTTGTTCTCACACATATGCTGTGTCACCACATTTCTCTTTTTGTTATAGTAGCCAATATTATTTTAATTTTCAGCATGTGATTTTATTCTTTCTATTCACATTCAATCTCTAATCATTACTTTTCTAGCTTGACTCAATTACTGTCACCTGGTTTCTCTTTCTCTCTAAAACTATACCCTTTCCACATTCTAAATCTCTGTGTTCTATTTCCTTTAACTTGTCCTTCATCTTAGCTTTTAGTTCCTCAATACCTAAAATACTTTTTGGTTCTTCCAGCTATAACCTATCTTTTTTCTGTCATATACACATAGATATAAATATAGATATAGATGATATAGGCATAGACATAGACATAGACATACTATGAGAGATCTAAAAATCTTCTCAATGATCCAACTGTATTACAATCAATAGCAACATTTTTTAGAATTTTACTGTAAATGTAAATATATAGCAAAGGTAGTAAAATTAACTTTTACAAAGCTATTATAAATGTTAAAAAACAAAATCAGTAAAAATAACTATGATTACAATAACCAGTTAAGGGATATACCAGGTAATAATAAGATATAAAATGTGACATCAAAAACATAAAATGTGTGGAGTAAATGTTGAGTTTTACAATGAGATCAAACTGAAGTTGTTATCAACTTAAAATAGATTCTTATAAACATAAGTTGTTTATATAAGCCTCGTAATAACAACAAAACAAAAAATTATAGTTAATAGACAAGTAATGAGAAAAAATAGGCATACCAGAAAAGAAATAAAGCACAAAGGAAGAGAGCAAGAGAAGAAAGGAACAGAGAGGAACTACAAAAGCATGCAGAAAATAATTAATAAAACAAAAAATGTACAAACCTATCAATAATTACTTTAAATATAAATGGACTATATTCCCTAACCAAAGATATAGAGTAACTGAATGGATAAAACTAACTAACAAAAAGATCATCTATATACTTCATACAAAAGACTTGACATGTAAGAACATACATAGATTGAAAATGAAGGCATGCTAAAAGATATTCCATACAAATGGAGACCAAAAGAAAGCTGGAGTAGCTTCATTTATATCAGACAAAATAGATTTTAAAAACAAGAGTTTAATAAGAGATAAAGAAGAGCATTACATAATGATAAATGGATAATCCAACAAGAAGATATGAGTTTGCTCTCACCACTCTTATTCAACATAGTACTAGAGTCTTAGCCACAGCAATCAGACAAGAAAAATAAATAAAAGGCACCAAATTGGAAAAGAATAAAATTTTATTTGCAGATAACATGATAATATATATGGAGAACCCTAAAGATTTTCTAGACTGCTAAATGATTAATGAATTAAGTAAAATAACAAGATTCAAAATAAGTATCCAGGAATCAGTTACAATGTTATATACCAATACTGAACTATCAGAAAAGAAAACTAAGGAAACAATCCATTTAAAATTGCATTAAAAATACCTATAAATAAATTTAAATTAGGATGTAAAAGATCTGTACTTGGAGAATTATAAGACACTGAAGAAAGAAACTGATAAAGATACAAATAAGTGGAAGCATATACTATATTCATGGATAGAAAGAATTAACAAAATTAAAATGTCCATACAACCCAAAGCAATCTATAGATTCAATGCAATTCCTATTAAGATACCAGTGGTATATTTAATAGAACAAGAACAAATACTCCAAAAATGTATATGGAAGCACAAAAGACCCCAAATAACTATAACAATCTTGAGAAAGAAAAACAGAATTGAAGGAATCACACTACCCGTCAGAGAAATACAAGTACCATTGATTTAACTTATATGTGGAATCTAGTGAACAAAATGAACTAACAAAAGAAATAGAGACAGACTCATAAATACACAGACCAGACTGACAGCTATCAGAGTGGAGGGGGCTTCAGGGCTGGGTGAATAAGGTAAAAGAATTAAGCAAAGAAAAACATTTTCACAGACACCAGCATGGTGATTACCAGAGGAAAAGGGTGTGGTGAGGGGGATGTATAAGAGGGGAGGGGAATGTATAAAAGGGTAAAGGGGGGATAAATACTGATGGAAGGAGACTTTATTTGGGTAGTGAACACAATATAACGATGATATATTATAGAACTGTATACCTGAAACCTATATAATTTTATTAACCAACTAGAGGCCTGGTGTACAACTTTGTGTACTGGTGGGGAGAGGGGTCCCTCAGCCCAGCCTGCACCCTCTCCCAGTCTGGGACCCCTTAGGGTATGTCCACCTGCCTGCTTAGGTCTGCTCCACAGCAGCACTGCCTGGCTTCTTGCTGAGCGGTGCTCCCCCTGTGGAAGCACACTGACCACCAGGGGGCAGTTCCTGCAATGATTATATGTCCCTTGGTGGTCAGTGCATGTCATAGCAACTGGTTGTTCTGCCATTTGGTCAATTTGCATATTATCCTTTTATTATATAGGATGTCATCCTAATGAATGCAATAAAAATTTAAAAACTAAAAAAAACAAGAAGATTTGACATTTGTAAATATTTAGGTACCCAATATAAGAGCACCTAGATATATAAAGCAGATATTAATAGACCTAAAAGGGAAAACAGGCAGCAATACAATAACAGTGAGGTACTTTTCATTACCCCACTTACATTTATGAACAGATAATCTGGACAGAAAAATCAATAAAGAAATACTTGCCTTAAATGAAACCAGATGGACTAACAAATATTTATAGAACATTGCATACAAAGAATACACATTCTTCTCAAACGCACATTGAACATTTTCCCAGATAGATCATATGTTAGGCCACAAAACATACCTTAATAAATTTAAGAGGATTGAAATTATATCCATCATCTTTTCTGACCACAGTATATAAAGCTAGAAATTAATTATGTAGAGACAATTAACACCATACTCAAAAATCATATGACAATAGAAACATCTTACCTGATGGGCCAGAATATAAATATTGTGTCCAACATCTTTTGGGGAAACACCATCATCTCCACCCTCATCATCTCCATGATCGCATTCCAATCCTTGGTTATAGGCATTCTTCATCACATCCACCTATCAAAGACACAAAGGGAACCAGCAAGGCTTGGAATGCCACAAACAACATGAATTTTACATTGTCCATGAGGTGCAATTAAAGGCTAGAATGCTTCCCAAGACTTGAAAAGTATCAAAGAGCTCTAATGAAAATGGCTTTAGTTAAATTAGCACAGAAGTATTTCCCTACAATATTTATTTCTTGCTTTCCTTGGAGAATTTTGCTTTGAGTTTTGAATGATGACAGTGCCATAAGTTCCGATGAATTAGGAGACTCTGGAATTGTGATATCTAGCCGTTATTTATTAAGTGCCTTCTAGGTCACAGAGATCCATGGTGCGGACATCGTCCTCTGCTCTGAGGACCCAAAGGTGGATACAATAGAGTATCTGCCCTCAAGTGATGAACACCATGGAGAGCAGAGGCTGCCAACCTTTCAGACCTCACAGACCACTAGTGGTCTGGTTAGTGACTGTTGATCTAGAAGGTGCCCTGGCCTTCGTGGTTTAGTTGGTTGAGTGTCATGCCATGCATTAAAAGGTCACAGGTTAGCCGGAACCGGTTTGGCTCAGTGGATAGAGCGTCGGCCTGCAGACTGAAAGGTCCCGGTTTCGATTCCGGTCAAGGGCATGTACCTTGGTTGCGGTCACATCCCCTGTGGGGGGTGTGCAAGAGGCAGCTGATCAATAACTCTCTCTAATCGATGTTTCTAACTCTCTATCCCTCTTTCTTCCTCTCTGTATAATTATATATCTATATATCTATATATCTATATATCTATATCTATATCTATATCTATATCTATATCTATATCTATATCTATCTATATCTATATCTATATCTATATCTATATCTATATCTATATCTATATCTATATCTATATCTATATCTATATCTATATCTATATCTATATATAGTCACAGGTTATAGTCCCAGTCAGGGCATGTGCTGGAGGTTACAGGCTCTATCTCCACTAGGAGGCATGCAGGAGGCAGTTAATAGATACTTCTCATATCAAGGTTTCTCTCCATCTCCTTTTCTCTCTCTCTAAAATCAATTTTAAAAATTGCATATTTTTTTTAAAAAGCAAAGAACACAACAATCCTACAGCAAGACTTAAGTTTGAGTTACTAATTAAGCATAGGGCATGGGCACTAACTGAGTCAAGAGGTTGAGAGTGGGTCATAACGAGGAAGTGGATGATGAGATAAATGTGTTGTGGGCAGAGAAAGCAGTATTTTCAACAGGCAATTGTACAGTGCTGTTTTTTAATAAATATATAACCCACTGTCCCTTTTAACTATAAATACACTATCAATTTTTATTGTTCAGAAAGATATGTAATGTTTGAGGGATAATAAACATTTTTTACATATCTTCCCAACATATTCCAATATACAAATCAAAGAAAATTCTTCTTACTCTTCATAGCCCAATGCCTTGCAGATAGGAGGCTCTCATTATACATACGGTAAATCAAAATGTATCTTATTTTTATCTTCCATCCTTGACTCCATTCCTATTTTTTTTTTATTTTATTGATTTGAGAGAGAAACATTGGTTTGTTATTCCACTTTTCTGTGCAGTCATTGGTTGATTCTTGTATGTGCCCTGACTGGAGATCTAACCTATAACCTTGGCATAATGGGATGATGCTCTAACCAACTGAGCTACCCAGCCAGGGCTCCTTCCTTACTATTAAAAAGAAAGCAAAAGATTGCTTTCCATAGAATTTTCTCATAGCACTAACAATGGTTCTCATAAAACTAGGATTTAGTCATTGGAGCATCAAGCTATAAGGTTTAAGGATGTTGTTAATGCTTTTGAAACCCAATGCTTTTAAGGTTTGGTGATATTACTCCATGATTTCCATGTCACACATGAGGAGGAAAATATAACTTGTACAATAGGAAGACCCTCTAATGATTTCTGTGGAATTCCTATCAGATCTTCAATTTTCTCTAAAACAAGCATTATGTAATATTTCACTGATAAAAACAAGTACAAAAGATATTGATTTTATTGCATTGTTCAGAAAGAGGTAAAATATAATTTTTGAGTGGTACAAACATTTGTTTCACATAGCATCCTCATATATTCCAATACAGAAACTAAAGCAAACTTTACTTTTTCCTGTCAAAAGACTTTGCAGATAGTTTAGTGCAAAGAGGGGGTAAACCATTGAAATGATAAGGACCCAAATCACACTGGCCTTGCCTTCATGAGGCCTTCTGAGATATTTGTAAGGTGTCGTAATGCCTTGGTTGAGCAGTAAAAGTCACTAGACTTTTTCTTGATATGCATACTACAAACTTATCCCTTTTAGTGATACATATTAACATGGGTTTCAAAAGTTTCCTTACCAGTTCCCTGGGTCTCATGTTAAAAAGAATTCTTTCTGCATTCTCACTGTCATGTCTGCTTTCCATAATGGCCAGCAAAAGCTTGGAGGCGTTGTTCTAGAGAAACAGACTGGGTTAACGCACAAGAAAAAAATCGATTTCATGGATTAACAATCCCCTGCCTTTGTTAATTGAGATTACCAAGGCCATTTTTTTTTTTAAACCAAACGGAATTTTAAATTGCTAATTTGGTTTGGCTTATTAGCATTTTTAAATAGGATGTATTACTTTATTGTCAACACAAAATAAAAATAATAAATCATGAGAGATAGTAACAAGGGGTATTTTAAATATTGGTGAAAAGGTGTTTTAAAAACAAGACTGACTTTATATATAATGCATTCAAATATTATCATGTATTCCTTCACTATTTCCCAATGGGCATTTCTATGATGACATTTAACAAGACAGTAAGGTGAACCAGTATCAATGACATATTTCAGATAAATGGTATATAATTTAAAGAATTTAGCAAATTGATTTTAATAGAAAACAATAATACACATTACCAAATCAAAATTTTAAGTTTAAAAAATAATTACTGAAATTTAATCTATAAAATTGGAAATACATGAGCTAGAAATACAATATAAATTTACAGATATCTAGTCCCACAATATTTCAGTATATAAGCAACATGTTTACCACCTGGGTTATAGAAGAATAATATTTTCTATTTTTGTTTAATAAAGAATGAAAACAGTTAATGTTCTCTTTGAGGTTTTCTAATTTGGTTTATAAATATGTTATCTCAAACACTTTTACCTATAGATATAAAAAATGTTTCTGATACAATTGATTTATAATCTAAAACCAGTACCACAGAGTTATAGAAAGTCTTGACCCATAAAACACAATATTCTCAACATTTAGAAAGAGGTTTCTTTACATTGCTTTCAATAGTGCTGCCCTAGAATTGTGGCAAATTGCACGATGATAAAAACTACTGAAGAGACATTTCTACAGTGTTTTTGTAATGTTTAAAACATCTCAATTTCCACATATAATCTTTGATGGGAGCACAAAAGAAGTAGAGTCAAATGGCTTTAAGGCGGTTCTCAACAACTCAAAATTAACATCTTACAGGATGAAAACTTAAATTGAATCGGTTGTTTGGTATGCAGACATCTCTACAGAGTTTTTGTGAAAGTTGTTGAAATTAATTTTACTGAGCAGTTTTTAATATCAAATTCTATCTATTTTTTTTTCTTTCAGAAGTAAAATCTAAAGACTATCTTTAAATGACTATCAATGATGATAACAATATCAATGTCATGGACCCATCCTGAAAAGATTTTAGCATTTTGTAGGAGAGGTAGCATTAATTTTTCTGTTTCATTTAAAATTTTTGTATATTTATACCAATCCTAAAACCCATTTTTATAATGTAGCATCCCATCAGTACAAATAATATACTTAAAAATAAGGTTTCAAGATTTAAGGAGAGTTGAAATCCTTGGAGTGATTTGCAATGATCCCTAGAATTCAAAGCTAAAACCTTAGCAACAATAGCCATCTTCTCTAATGAACCTCACTCAGCAGGCCCAATACATAATAGCTTTAAAATACATCCAATTTCAGAATGCTATTGGCATTACGGTGCTTTTTCTAACAAATCTCCTTTTTCCTACTATGTTGGGAGAATAGGAATTTTGTAAATGATCTACTGAAATCTAAATCAATTTGAAAGTACAAAAGCCTATATATAATATATACACCAAGATATCAAATGCACGTGTCAGTGTTAACAGAGGGCTTTCTTTAAAACAAAACAAAACAAAATGACCTATTTACTGATTCAGCCCTTCATAGTTACAAACCAGTTAGGAAATGTAGATTAAAAAGTAAAGGGAAAGACATATGCAAAAAAATTCACTAAATTGTATAGTAAATGAGTATATAGAAATAAGTATACTTAGAATTATAACTAAGAAAAATTATATAAATGATATAAAATAAAACCTTAATAATTTAATGTGGTTTTCTCTAATTTATCTAGATTTTATCATTAAAAGCACCCTACCCAGAGAAGCCCCCGAATATTTGACACTATCATTCTGTCATACAAATATTGTCCTATTGGCCATTATGTCAAAGCCTCATTTGTTTTGTTTTTTGTTTTTTTCTTAAAGTACACACACCTAATTTTTTAGGTAGATAACAATACTTTAAATATTTCAGGTCAAACCCATTCATTTGGTATTTTTTACATACCCTTATTTATCCAACTGTCATATTTTGAAGAGGTATACCTAAATTGTACTTAGTAATATACACAATTTTAAATGATTCTTTTTCTAAAAGGCATTTTCATTTGAATAGCTAAGAATATATTTGTACCCCATCATTTAGTTATTTAACACTAGACGCCTGGTGCATGAAATTCGTGACCTAGACCTGGCTGGCGATCAAGGCCAATTTGGGCCTTTTGGCTGCTGGCCAGGGCCTTCCTTGGTTCTGCACCACCTCCTGGTGGTCAGCACATCATAGCAAGCGAAAGAACTCCCAGTCTCCCAGTCAAACTCCCGTAGGGACACTTTGCATATTAGCCTTTTATATATATAGATAGGTCTGGGCTTGTAAATAATCAGGATTCCTATACTTTGTTTTAAATTGATTAATCATCCAGTAATTAAGTTATATCAATTAAAAATTAGGTTTAAAGGGGTTGTTTTAGACTACTAAAGGATTTAAAAAGCCAGAGGCCAAGGCTTTTATAAGTTATATTTTTATGAATTATGGCTAAAGATGAATTTAAGATGAAATAAACATTTTTTTTCCTAGTAATTCAGATGAAGCTGCCTGCCACGTAGGCTTACGCTGGCTTCACTATCTAAAGCATGATGCTAATGAGGGAAAGGACACAAGTTCAATCTACACAAGAATCACCTTTGCTTTAATGCATGGATGGAAGGACCCAAAGCAATACACACTGCAACAGAGAACAGTGAAAAACTACAAACTCTTCTCTTAAAAACACTTTCTTATTAAAAGCCATTAGCACAATCTTCACATAAGCAGTATGTTATCAATAGCTATGCTTAGTAGCAGAATTATCAAAATCTCATTCTTTTTGGCCATAAATATACAAAGTGAAAGTTACATTTTGCTATGATACTAGACAGACCTGTCTTAACTGGAAAATTGTCATTTAACCAATGGTTTGTTTACCTGTTTAACACTGAACACAATAATGTGGTCTTTCATGATTCACCTCCACTGAATATCATGCCTTTGTATTTCACATTTATATAGCTTCTTGTGTACCTTCATTTGTTATTCCCATTTGAACAAAAAATTGAAGGATTTTTTTGTAATGTCATCTTGTTCCTGAGCTCTGATTAATGGAACTGCTGGGAAGTACGTGTGGTTTAAGTTCAAGTGCCTTCTCAAAGGCAGTGTGAAAATGGCTTATAGAATTGGGGAGGGGGGGAATAAAATTCTAATGTAAAAGGAAACAACTTTTATAAGGAAGAGAGCCATAAAATGAAACTGCAGCCTTCCTTTCCCACAGTCTAATAGCTGTGACTTGCCAGCTAGAATTCTGAAGTTAAGGTAAATTTTATAAATGGGTGCAGTGAGTTTCAGCACCTTTGGCTCTTCCATATAATAAAAAACATAAAATAACAACAGAAGAGACATGGTGAAACAAAGTGCCACTTAAAAGGACTTCCAGGAAAGTACCCTCCATTTTATCAGGAATTTCGTGTGCATGGTGCTTTCACTAGCCCGTTCTGTCTATTCATTAGCTGAAAATATGACAATATCTTGGTTTCTACAAGAGCTACTTAGAGATTTGGAGGAACCCTGAAAGGGAGTTTTATATAGACAATGTCACTTCTCCCCCCTCTAAACAGTGAGTGGATTTACTTTACCTTTAGTTGAAGCACCAAGTCCATTCGATATTTACCAAGAGGGTTTATGTCATTTAGGATCAGAGCAATGATAATATCAATTCCATTAGATTCATGAGTAGCAATACATGACTAGAAAACAAAATGTTACAAAAATAACTTCTTTTTAACATCAAAGCCCTAGAAACCATATGGCATAAAACAACAGAATCACCTTAGTTTATTTTTTTTTTTTTTTACCTTTAAAATATAACTAACATTTAACTTTTGGATTAAGTGGAACCATAGAAGCCAAAGGAAGGTCATTCCTCAAATCCTGGGAAGATTCGCTAAGAGACGAAAACTGAGCAATAATGAAGAAACATGTTTCACTCTTTCTGATAAGTCTGATTTTTATCTGGAACATTTTCATGCAGATAAATACAATTTCTTTAACAATGAAATGAAATTAAAAGATGGCATAGTATCTGTCTGTCTATAATTCAGTCCTTATATGTTTTGTTAGGAAAATAAAAACATCTGGCAAAGCAAGAAGAAAGATCTTTTAAATGTACACAAGGGTTGGCTTGTTCAACATTTGGATCCCTTTGCTAATTAGTCAGAAATAGTTTTGCGTGGAGAACGGCTTTCCTGGTTACCTGATTTTCATGGCATGGGCCCTGGCAGTACTCAGTCAAACTTTCCAGAGTCTGGTTGACCAGCACTACATTCTTCTCATTGATGTAGAGACCCAGCAGGCCCAGGCCACCCGTGGTACTTCCGCAAATGCAGTCCAGAAATTGAAGGGTCTCACAGACAAGGTTGTAATTTGTTTTGTTGTTTTGATTCCTCAAGAAGTTCTGAAGGCAAAAGAAAATATAACCTAAAGGTTAGAAAAAAAAACCAAAAAAAAAACCCTGTGTAATTGTTTTCAGTTCTGTGTGAATGTGTGTGTGTGCTCTGCTCCCTATGGCAATGTGAAATGGAATTGCTCTATTTAAGAAAGTGGTTGTGTTTGTTAATTTTCTCCTGGATTTAAGGGGAGAGGGGGGAAAGAAGATTCTTAGGTTTTTTTTTCCTCAAGCATCTATATTTATCAGCATAATTCTTATCAAGCATTCTCAATGTCATTATCCTGAAACTATATAGAGAGAGTTAAATAATAGGTAACAGGAAGAGAGAAGAAGGAAAAGGAAACTATAAAGAAGTTAATTAGGGAAAGAAAACAATCAAATTTTCCAAGTAAATGAAACTTTAAAAAAAAGTGCAGCTTCAAACAGTAAATGGAGGGCAACTTGGAAGCTCCTATTAAAATTTTCAGTTAACTTACAACTCCACTTCCCAAGGTTATTATTTCTATATATTCCACAAAGAGATTCATTGCACCCTGTCTGTAACAGCAAACACTGGAAACCAAAGCATAGCCATTGTAATAAATAACAGTAATCTAAATGCTGCAGTATTGTGAAGCTATAAAAATAAGGTACATCAATATGTACTGATATAAATATAAACTAGTAATAAGTGATTTAGCAATAAAATATATTGCTAAGTAAAAAAAAAAAGCAAGTTCAGGAACACTATAAAATGTGCTTTTAGAAAGGCTGACATGCTTATTTGTGCATAAAAATTTCTGGAAGGAAAGACAAATTGTTAGCAGTAATTTCTTTGGGGGAGTAAACCTGGCGAGAGGGTAAACAAAAATAAAAACTTTTAATTTTTAATTTAATTTAGTACTTATATTTATATATTAGAGGCTGGTGCACAGATTTGTGCACAGGTGGGGTCCCTCGGCCTGGCTTGTGGGGATTGGGCTGAAACTGGCTCAATCCCCAGAAGGATCACGGATTACAAGAGAGTGGTTCCTGGGTGACACACCCTGGAATCAAGCTCCCTCCTCTCTGGTTCTGGGTGTGTCACCAGAGATCGGCAACTGCCAAGTCACTGCAGCGCAGCAGCTCCTGCGAGCATCTGCCCCCTGGTAGTCAGTGTGCATCATAGATACTGGTCAGAGTGTCTGTCCCCTGGTGGTTATTATATGTCATAGCTACTGGTCGGACAGACTAATGGTCGCTTAGGCTTTTATATATATAGATTTATTTGCTTGAATTTATTTTTTCCACTTACTTTTTTTTTCTTTTAGTTTGCTTTTGTAATTTCCCCTCAATTTTTTGTATGTGGTAAAAATACCCCCAAATTTACCACCTTCAATCACTTTTACTAGCAAGTGTAGAGTTCAATGGCATTAAATATATTCACAATGCTGACATACCATCAACATCCATGTCTCTAGAACCCTTTTCATTTTGTAAAACTGAAAACTTATACCTATTACTAATCCCCCCATCAGCCTTCCCTCAGCCCCTGGAAACTACCATTCTACTTTCTGTTCTATGATTTGACTACTCTAGGTGCTTTATATAAATGGAATCACACAGTATTTGTCTTTTTGTAACTGACTTATTTCACTTGGCATAATGTCCTAAGATTCATACATGTAGCATGTGTCAGAATTTCATTTCTAAAGGCTGAATAATATTCCATCCTATGTATATACTATATTTTGTGTATTCATTCATCAGTTGGGTTGCTTCTATATAATAGCTATTGGATAAACCCACCAATTATTCTTATAGCTATTTTATTAGTAGCATTTCCAAATTATTTTATCCCACATTCCTATCAGTGAAATATTTGAACAGGTTCTACATAATATATCTATTTCCTACATCGACAGACTAGGTGGGTCAGGATAAGTATGAAGGCAGAGACAGTGTCCTCCCTCTGGGAGTAATGCATCTGGCCTTTGTCTGTTGACAGTGCTACAGCAGCCCTCTTCCAGGTGTGGTGCAGTGGTCACCAAGAGCCATAGCTTTTACCATTAATTCCAGATGTATCCCCTTGGAGAATATTTAATTAAATTTACATAAATTTACACATATTACCAATTCAGAACACTTGTAGTCTAGACCAGCAATTTTCAATCTTTTATTTTTTTATTTTCATGGCACACATAAACTAATTACTAAAATTCTGCAGCACACACAAAAAAATGTTATGGTTTTTGCTGATCTGACAAAAAATATAAGAGTAATTTTGATTCATTCGCACTGGACAGCTATTGTGTTGGCTGTTGCCATTTTTTTAAATTTGACTATCTAAATGAAAAGAGGTCAGTGTTCCTGACTGAATAGCCAGGTATTTAATGTTTTAAAAATTCTTGTGGCACACCAGTGTGCTTCTTACGGCATACCCACTGAAAATTGCTAATCTAGGCAATGACTAAAGAAAACAACTTCAAACTCTGCTGTCTCTTTAATATTGGATATGTGTCCTTAGAAACTATCTCACCTTTCATGTGGTTTTGCCATGGTGATGTAAGCATTGTGTACAAATAATCCCCCCCACCGCCTTAAAAAAAAGCGCCAAAATTCCTAGTTACCCCTAATTTAATCTACCTGACAAAGGGAAATATACCAAAGCACATATAAGAGCAGGACTACATTAATTTGCAAAGGTATCAATTTCCACTGTGGCAAAAAAAGAAAGAAAGAAAGAAAGAAAGAAAGAAAGAAAGAAAGAAAGAAAGAAAGAAAGAAAGAAAGAAAGAAAGAAAGAAAGAAAGAAAGAAAGAAAGAAAGAAAGAAAGAAAGAAAGAAAGAAAAAACATAAAACCCTCTCCTGTGTTAACTCTACTTCTAATGAAGGCAGATAAGTGTAGTCTATATCCTCATTCAAGAAATAGACTGTCAATGACAAAATGCCCTGAAATCTATAAAACTATGAAGGCACAGATGAGCAAACGTGACCTTACTCAACCAACACCAGAATATTAGGATTGGATGATGTTCACCCAAGTTAAAAAGATATGAGCTGAGGATGAGGACCAAAGAATGAAACCTGACCAGCCCAACTTTTCATGCATACAGGGATTTTCCTTTCATGTTTCATCAGAGACAAAAGTCCCCCCTCCCCCCCCATTTCAGAAGAGCACTATTGGTTTTATTGATTATCTCTCCAAAACACTCTCCCAAACTAATTGTTATTTTTATCCAAGTTTAATCACTTATAACCGTAGGCCGTTTTCTCAGCTTTTACACAAACTAGAACAATACCTGCAGTTCCCGGTTGTGATTCTCACATAGTAACTGAAGAAATCTCAGGATCGGCTGCATGATGGCAATTGCAGGGCTCATCGTCACTTCCTCTGCAGACTTGTCCTCCGCGTTGCCCCCTTCTGATCCCGTGCACATAATGTCTATTTCCGGATCCATTTCTCTTCTGTATACACAGTATGCTTTGGATGTTGCTGAAGAAGCTTCTGTTAATTGCCCTTTCATTCCCTCTTTTAAATGTAGTGATGAATCTCTTACTGAAAAAAAAAAAGCAGCACTCTTATGGTTCCAAATTAATTTCCTTTTGCTAATTAAAATAAAAAGACAGCCAGCTACCCAAATTCTTCAACAACTGAATAAAAATCACCTGACAAGAGGTGCAATAATTTTCCCTAAGGAACTTGAGCTAGCAACTTAAAAAATTAAATGTGCACTGGGACACTAAAATCAGATCTTAATGCTTAGCCAGTTTCCAAAGGATTTATGTCTTTTTGATAAATAAAATACAAGAGGTCATAATACAAGAAGGTGGGAAAATATGGCAAACTTCAAAACGTTCATTTCTTATGATTTGTATTTACTACACAGATGTTCAGTTTTAATATTTGAAAAACCAAGACTCTTTCTTTAGAATCAGTGCTATAATTTCTGTTCTTAAATTAGAAATTTCATTAATACTCAGAAGGTTTGGGGCAGTTGTTTTTTTTGTTTGTTTGTTTGTTTGTTTTGTTTTTTGTGTTTGTTTTTTTTAACCATGCCTCCCACAATGAAATCAAACATCTTCATATCACTACAGTAGGTCCTCTCTTAATGCCACCCACAGTTTCTGTGACTTCAAGCAAAATGACGTGTCACAAGACCAATTTTACCATAGGCTAAATAATATAAATAAGAGTTAAATTCATCTGGCACCTCATCAATGTCATAATGAAAGGATCTATGTTGAATGAAACAATGATATTCAAGGATCTGCTGTAGTTGCTTTGCATTAATAATGCATTGCTTGAGTTTGGTCTGCTGAGTTGCTTCAAAGTCAACACCTTCACCATAATAATTTAAGGATGGAACACCATATTCAGAGCCCCGGTTGGGATGATTAGACTAAGACAACTGAGATGAAAAAGGCAAGTGAGATCTAAACACTATGTTAGCCTCTGTTCTCTCCTTCTACTCTCCCCAACACACAAATATTTCTTTACCTCTTATTCGTGGACTAGATGTCATCAATTCATTGTCATCATCCCTTTTTTTGTTACCTAAGTCTATGGTATTCACTGTAACAGTTGATCTTATTTCTTTCTGAGCAGCCTTCATTCGGTCATATAGAACTTTGAAGAATTTTTCTGACCTTTTTTGCTCATGCAACTGCTGGTAGAACGAATACTGCAAGAAAACGTATTTTGAGATATCAATACCCAAGCAGAGAAAAAGTGTTTTTATGCTTGAAGTAAATATAAGGATTCTAAATGAAAGCACACATTTAATGTGCTGCCCTCTATTGTTTCATAAATAATAAACTGACAGCTTTTGCCAGTCTCCTGTACTCTTTAATGTATACTAATAATATCTTATATTTGCTCTGCACTTTCCAACATATTTTCATATGCTATCTAATTCATCCTATTTATTTTTAAAAATTACAAAGGCACTATAAGAAGTTGTATGCAAAGTTCTTTGATTTTTATGCTATTATAAAGTCATGTATTGGTTCAACATTTATTTAGTGTCTCTACGTACTAGGCCCTTTGCTAGCACTAGAGATAGAAGGAGAACAAACACAGCCCCTGCCCTCATGAGTTTGACATCTAGGGAAGAAACCAGCCACTAACCCAATGATCACCCTGTACAAACTAGTTTATGGAGGATTGCAAAGAGTTGTTTTCCTTTTATCTGAATTACAGTACATTTAATTTAGAATATGTTACCATGGTAACCTCACTCACAGGAATGCACTGATAAATAGGCACTAAGTCCTTTGGTGCTTCATTAGCTACATTGCTTTGCATGGGTTCCAGGACAAGCTCACCATAAAATAAATTCTGCTTTATGGTTTGTAATGATATAGAAAGGCCTCAATACCAAAAATATGATTAAAATATATCTTAGTGAGAGATGGAAATATTGAACCTTAGAAGTATCTACCCTAATCACATTCTGCTTAGTGACTCAGGGGAGCATCTATAAGAGAAAGGAGAAGGGAAAGATGATACTCTCTAAAGAAGTCAGAACTGGCACTGGGTAGGGAGATTAAAAATTATTAATACTAAAACCGTGGGCTAGACACAGCACAAACAAGAGAAATAAAGTAAAAATTCAAGAAAGATAATAGCCTGAGTAATTGTGATGATTTAGAGTTATATAACCTCGCTGAGAGACAGTGTAAAGGAAACTTATGAAAAAGCAACGATTTCCAGATCAAGTAGAGTTGAGCATATTCCAACTCATCTAACAGCCAATTTGGGGGAGTTTGGCTCTGCAGATGTGCTTTCCTGCAGGAATGCCTGGAACCATGAAACACAGGTGAGACTCTAATGACATCAGGTCTTGACATGGTTACCTGTCCTGAAATTATTTATATCAACAATGTATATTCACCGAATGGTGTATGTACCTTTAGAAGTTGGCTTCATATCTACAAGGGGAAGCTCCTAAGCAGAAGGCTAGCAACCTCTCAAGAATAACAGGCCAAAAATCCACAGTAACCATAGCAACTAGAGAGAAACAGTTGAGCTGGTTCTGCTAATTCAAAGGATAAATGTAGCATTCACAGACCTTACAGTCCCACAAATTAAGCTGGTGCTTAAACCCTAATATTTTCAATATAATGGAGTTAGAGGTTGAAGGGCAATGCAATATATTAATGAGGAAGTTGTAGGAACTTCATGGCTTTATTAAAACAAAGTTTTATAATTTATATAGTTCCTTGACATATATTATTTCTTTGATACTTTCAACTGTGTGATGAATAAACAGTGTTCTTATTTCCACTTTATAGATTTAAAAAAAATGATGCTTAGTAAAGACAAGTGAATTGCCCAATATTATGTAACTGGTAAGCAGTGAAGCAAGGATTTAAATCTAGAATCCCTAATTCTAAATCAGTAAATTTATCATGTAACTTCTTAAGCTCAAAACTTAAGCTTTTATTTACACATCCCATTTTTAAACCAGGGCTCTACAAATTTGAACATTCTGATTTTCACAAAGATAATAAGTGTGCTCTATATATGTGTATATAATCTCAAGAGATAGCATAAGGATTTCTCTTACTAAATATATTGTTCTTATCTAGGAAACTGCCTCCATAAGCTGCATAATAGAGTATAGGGAAATTCTAAGGTATTTTTCAGGATTGAAGGGTGATAGATAAACAGATGTGTGACAGAGGAAGTACTTTCCCCAAGAAGGAGGAGCAGACTAGATGTACCAGGGCAGAGAAGGGATATGAAGTGAGGAACTGGAGAGAAAAAGTAAGACTAGGCATGATATAAAGTGAATCAGTCAGAGAAATTTCCCAAGAGTGAAGAGGTAAAAGGTTATTTTAGAAAGGAGATGTTACCCTAGCCAGTTTGGCTCATTGGACAGAGCATTGACCAAAGGGTTTTGGGTTTAATTCCTGTCAAGGGCAAGTACGTTGGTTGCAGGCTCCTCCCCAGCCCCGGCCCTGGTTGAGGCTTGTGCAGATGGCAACCAATCAATGTGTTCCTCTCACATAGATGTTTCTATCTTCCCCTCTCTTTTCCACTCTCTCTAAAACTCAATGGAAAAATATCCTTAGGTGAGGATTAAAAAAAACACACACATAAAAAGCAACTTAATAGAAAGGAGATGTTAATAGTGGTTAAGAACATAGACTCTGGGGCCAGACTGCATGGGTTTGAATCCTAATTCTGTTTCTAACTAGCCATGTGATCCTGGATAAGGAACTTAAACCATGTATATCAGATTCTTCTTTGGTAAAATGATATAATATAAAAGTTACCTAATAGGTTGTTGTAAGGATTAACCAAGTTAATACATGTAAAGCAATAAGAACAGTGTCTGATATCTAAGAGGTATTATCTATCTTCCCCCTCAACCAATCTTTAATAAAGTATATTCTGTGCTTGCTTTGGCAGCACATATACTAAAATTGGAATGATACAGAGAAGATTAGCATGGATGACACCCAAATTGGTGAAGTGTTCCATATTTTTAAAAACATAAAGTATATTCCACATATAAATTGACTTATGTAGCTAGGAGAGGAATCAGAGTCCTATCTCAGTACCACAGGTAAAGAGGTATCAAGAGAACCCATGAACTAAGAGAGCGAGACATTAGTTGCTAAGACATCTCTGAAAATGTGGCATCCTTATAGAGACTAGCAGAAGTCTGGGAGAGTCATGAGTTTTAGACCGCTAAAGAGCAAGGATTAGGATTCCAGTTGACCTCAACTAGACCTCGTTGAGCCAGGAACACTCAGCTTACTTCTGGGTTGTACAACAGTATGGATAGATGAGAAATCTGAATAGGGGAAAGCTGGTAAATGAAACTGTCATAACCCATCTTAGAAGGCTTTCACATACAAAATAATTTAATGCTGTTTCATTAACAAATATTTGTTCATGGATATAAAGCACCGGATAATGATACCCTACTCTAAGAAAGATGAAATTGAATTGGAAAGGCAAGATGTCATACAAATAACAACAAAGATAATCTCATCTAATGACCTTCAGTGGACCAGAAGCAGGAATCGAGAAAGCATTATAATTCCAAGGATTGCTTCTACCAAAAGATGTCCCAAAAATATTTTTAATATATTTTATTGATTTTTTACAGAGAGGAAGGGAGAGGGATAGAGAGAAACATCGATGAGAGAAAAACATCCATCAGCTGCCTTCTGCACACTTTCCACTGGGGATGTGCCTGCAACCAAGGTGCATGGCCTTGACCAGAATCGAACATGGGACCTTTCAGTCAGCAGGCCGATGCTCTATCCACTGAGCCAAACCAATTAGGGCTGTCCCAAAAATCTTTCACTTCCATTCTCTGGATAATCTACATCTGACATTATAGAGTTGCCTAGACAAATTTCTCTAGAAAATCCAAACTGATTATCTGGTTGTAAAAGAAAGACAATTGTCAAGAAAACCACTTAAATCCTGCCACTCCCACTCCTTTCACACCACTAACGTCCCTCAGCAGAATTAAAGTACCACATGAGTATTAAATAAATAAGTGCTGTGGGATCCCCATACAGGAGTCATTGCCAAAGTTCCTAAGATAGGGAAAATTTTGTGAAGACCCGTTCATTCATATAGCCATCACTCCTATCCATTTATTAACCCCTAGATTAGGCCAGACATAGTGCCAGACACCAGCTATTAAAAGCATGTGGCCTCAACCTTTAAGGATCCATAATTTACTAGACTTGTTTTCTAACTAAGAAGTATCAGTGTTTTAAGGTTACGTTCTGGTCATCATGCTGTTTGCTGTTCAAGAGGCCCTTATTCCTAAAGCCCCCTGTTACTGGCTATGCCATATCATAAAATTCCTATTGCTCCTTGTATTGGATTGCTAACTAAAGGACTATATCCTAGTTCTGAATTATAATAGATGTGACTTCCACTTGCCATGAATAGAGACAATGAATCCTGGAATTTCCAATTAGGTGTAGCATAGTTTCCTTCTCTGACAAAGGCAAACCTAGAAGGAGCAGGTAGTGAGTGGCAGGACTAAGAGGAGGAGGAGGCATCTTGCCTATGAGCATTTCCCAGTCCTCCTAGCATACTCTGCTCTGCCTTTTCATGGGGGCTGGGGAGGAGCTCAGGGAAACTTGGCAGGAGTTTCAAAATGAAAATGGTCCCTTCAGAACAGCAGTCTGAACCACACACACAGGTGAGCATATTGCTTGCTGCAGTAGAGCACCAAATTGATGAATGATGACTTTCAAATCACCCTGTCTTAAGCTGAATGAACAAATGAAATAGTTCTTGTCCTGCTAGTGAAAAATTCTCCCACTCAGCTGCATCAGGGTACTGAGCACTGGGAGGTTAGGGGCAACAGTATGTTACTGCTCTAAAATTCTAACATTATATATAAGGGAGGGACAAATTGAGATGGGAGGTGAATGTTATTGGGTATAATGCCAAATACTGTGGGAGGAGTTTATGCTTATTATCTCAACATTTACTTCTTAGATGAGCCAAATGTTACTTTTATCTGCAGGGTGTCAGCCTAAAATGTCCCTAAGCCAATCAGAATTCCTGGTATAATGTTAGGGAGGCTAGTTCTAGGGAATGTTCTGCTTCACTGAATAATTTGCAAAGCTCCATATTTCTATAGCAAATCAAATACATTTATAAGGAAAATGGGACACAAGACTGGTTTATAGATGTGTGTAGTCATGAGAGGCTAAAAGAAAACACATTACTTTTGCTTGGTGTCTATGACAAATCAATCAGAACCACAAATAATAGATATAACGCTCATCATGATAAGCAGGTACCTGAGTTTGTGTATTTCCTCCTTCGAGCAAGGCAATGCCAAGTAAAATGCCTTCGGAAAAAATTCTGTCATTTTTGGTATTCACTATAACATCGATGACAAGTTCAGATGCACCTTCTTTGTCCAGCAGACACTGAATATCTGACATTGATATCCCCATCTTATCTGCGTCCTGCCCAGAAAAGCTTCCTGTGATTAGGAGATATAAATAAATAAACCTTAATTACAGACATTATTAACATCTAATGTTTTGAAATTCTTAGACCTTACAAACATTTAAAATTGGTACTCATTGCTTACAAAGTTCAATATAGTATAAGCTTTGGATTTTTAAAAATCAAAAGTTTATAAAAACATAACTTTTTATGAAATGTATACCATCTGTAAATTATTTCTTACTAAAAATTCTTTTGAAATAGTTAGCTTTATTTTTATTTTTAATTTACATATAATAAATTATAACTTAGTTTAATTTCCAAAGTTAAAAGACAAAATTAATACTAATGTTCAAATCCATCATTTTATGAATCTGAAATGAAAGAATGGTTCTTAATAGTGCTTTTCATTGACTTCTTATTTAGATACAATGGACATTTAACATAAGCTTAAGGTACACAACATAACAATTTGATATACTGTATGTATTATTGCAAAGTGATGACCATAAAAATATTAGTTAACTTTCACCACTTCACATAATTAAAATTTTGTCCTTATGAAGAAAACTTTTACAGTCTACTCTCTTAGCAATTTTCAAATGTACAATATAGCATGGTTAAGTATGTATAGCCATTGTGTTGTGTATTACATCCCTAGGATTTATCTTTTTAATTGAAAGTTTGTATCTTTTGAACACTTTATTTAATTTCCCTGTAGGCACCTCTGGCAACCACCAATCTCACCTGTTTCTATGGGTTTTGTTTTTTAGATTAGACATGGTGAGATCACACAGTATTTGTGTTTCTCTGACTGACTTATTTCACTCAGCATAATGCCCGCAAGGTCCATCCATGTTGTTGCAAATAGCAGGATTCCTTTTTTTTAAATGGCTAATAGCGCTTTATAAATGAAATTTTTATATTTGTGCTATTTTAAGTGAAATATGAGAGTACTAGCTGAAGATTACAAAATAATTTTTAAAAGAAGAAAAATGGAAAGACTTACCTCCCCCTGGTGCAGATTTGCCATAGGTTCCAGAAAGGGGTCCATTTATACCAACTCCATAATCACCTTTAAAGTATCGATTCAGGAGTATTTTCCTTAATGTGTTACCCTAAAAAAAAAAAAAAAAAAAAAAAAAAAAAAAAAAAAAAAAAAAAAGAACAAGAAAGTGTTGGTTATTATTTCTTTTTCTAATAAAAGAGAAAAATATCCAGTACATTAAAGTGCAACTTAAATGTGTTTCCATCAATGATGTTGAGATGTGGAAAAAATTAATTTTATACTGCATAAGGTTTTGGAAGGCAAAATTTGCAAATATTTCCCAATAAAATAACAGTTTTGCTTCTCACAGAAATAAAGACTAAATTACAGTATTTTTCAACAGACTGTACTAAGAAAATCACAAGTGCTATAAATTTGGGGTCTTCAAAAGCTTAGGGTCCCAGTGTTGGTAAGAATATTAGTGGCACCTGAAGAGAAATAGATAAATAAACATCCTAAGAACTGGAAAGCAAAACATTAATTAGATTAGCTTAGTAAAATGTGCTAGCATCGAGACAGGTATACAATAAGTGCTTGAAAAATTAAGCTTAGTAAGATAGTAAATTATATCTAATCTCCCAGAGCTTTATTCAAAAGACAGTGGGTAAAAGCCAACAGTGTATTCCTTTATAAAATATGCAACTTAAAAATTCCTAAGTATTTAGTTTTGTGCTGGTTACAAGATATTTGTAAAACAATATATTTCATGATATAGTCACTTGCATATACTTAAGCAATACAGATAACTCCAAATCTTCCACTGTATTGTCTATTATTATTTTATAGAGAAGAGTAATTTAAAAAATATTTTTAAAGAACACTTGTTTATTTAAACTTTTTAAATGATCACATCAATTACTGAGGTACTATTCCCATGATGCAGATATGGACACTATGGCCCAAGAATCTATGTAATTAGCTGCACTTCATGCAGCTAACAGTTTGAGAGCAACACCTGAACTCAGTTCTTGACTACACATCTAGGCTGTTTCCCTACACTTCGCTGCACGCCCCCTTTCCAGCTAAGCCTCCCTTGGGTGCTGTGCCAAGTGGCTCTCATAGCTTCTTCTCTTTCATGCTTTGGTTATCCTTCTTTCTCAAGCCCTTAAGATTTTGTCCTCAGTCCTCATGTTGTTCTCCTCTTCTCAACTTCCCTTTCTCCCGTCGGCAATTTCGTCTGATCCTCAGTTGCATAATCGCTTCTGTAGGTCTGACTGCCAAATGTACTTCCTCCAGCCTTGACCTCTCTCTGGTAGGCTTCTCATCCTGTTTCCACTTAGAATTCCTTAAAACATCTTGAGGTTCTGCACCTTGAACTCAATTTTTCACTACAGACTAGTCCTTCTCTGCTAAACTTGTTCTCCTTTCAATTTCCGTTTACATTAACGGGATCACAATAATTCTGGTCATGCAGGCTGCAAACTTCAGGGATCATTTACTAGTACTAACCCTCCCCCACTTTGTCAATGGTTTGTGAAATCCTTTCTATTCCATCTTTTCAACTGTAGCTTCGAATAGCACTTTCGCACATTATATTTTAGCGGAAGTGAACGATGTGGTGATTTCTCACTACAGTTTTCTAAGTCTTTCTCTTTGTTCACTTCTTATACTTTGCCTAAAAAAATCCTCTGTTTTACTGATGGACATGTCCTACCTTCCCTCTTCATTCTACAAATATTGATTAGGTACCTACTGTGTTTCTGGAACTACTGTAAGTGAATAAGATTTATAAATGCCAGGAGTTTACAATAACGTCAGTTCTATAACAGAGATGCAGGTGAGGCCCTGTGGAAGCACAGAAGAGGAAACAGTGGACTCTGAAGAGGCTTTACATGTACACCTCCCATTAACCCATGTGATCACCAGAGGAAAGCCATCCTATGCACAGCCTGTGTGCAACACATCCATCCCAAATGTCACTGTGAATTTTAATAGACACTCAAAGTGTCTTGAACTGTTTTTCTTTATAGCAACTTTTATTTATTAACACTTAAGTTCTTAGAACACAAACATTTGTGATGGTTTCCTACTTCATGTTTACTTCCTTTAAGACTGTTCTATATAGGCGAAAGGTGATAACTGGTCTTGGAAGAAATAGTGGAATGTAACAGTTGATTCCACCCATGAATACAACTCTACTATCCCTTACAAAACCTAAGTGGGGTGCCAGGAGAAGACAAAAAATTAAAAGTGTTTCTTTTTTTCTTTTAAGGGAAAGTCTTATGAGTTGAATTAATTTCATCTGGCTAAAGAATGACCTTCCAAAAGGGAAGGAAAAACAAAACATTTCTTTGGAGTCAAAGAAGCTTTTGCTATGTATTTCATCACAGTTGAAATAGGTGCTATAAGAGAGTTTTAGACCCTAAACTATGGGATTGAAGTTGTAAGTTGTGGAGAAAAATGAACTGAAGAACTAAATTTCTTTAAAGGGTATCTCAGTTTGTTGCACCAATCATGGTTCTCAACTCTACAGACCAATGTATTACTTATCGCCATAAGCCTGTAAGATACACTTGGCCCAGCTGCCCAGACCTGATTTCCTTAAATTGCACAAGTCAGTGTCACCGTCTAGAAGAGAACCTGCTATGAATAGAAGCCAGAGGCTGGGGTCCTTGTGAACTAGCTCCCTGTTGATTCTCTCAGAGAGACTTTAACCACTTCTCACCATGAACCCAACCAAGAGATAAACAAGAAATAGTTTATTTTCTTTAAAAATGGAGAAATACAAAACCACAATTTACCCTTTGCTTTAAAAAATGCCTTTTATATTGCTAGAAGAATAAAGTTGCTTAAAACCAACCACAGAGTGGAACTGTACAACATCAAATTTTTGAAAAACACCCTATTTATCATTATTGCTATATTCTCTTCAGGCACATAAAGTAAAATACATAGATAGTTATCAGATTCAATCACATTAAAATCAAACGAGCAACACTCTCCTCATCCAATCCCAGCCTCGTTAGAAACACATATTTTCAAACTGTATGCTATGGCAATGTCATAGAAAGGGGAAGGGGTTCCCCAGATCTGAGTTCTTAACTCTGAAGCCGCACTGTCTGGGTTCCAATCCTGCTACACCACATACCAATGGGAGGATCTTAAGCAAATTACTTTACCACTCTGTGCTTCAGTCTTAGAACTGTCAAATGGAATACTCATAACACTTACCCTCATTGGTTTCCTGTCATGATTAAATAGGTGAAAATATGTGAAATATATAAAATAGTCCCTGGCACACAGTAAGTGCTTTATCAGTTATGTAAAGTTGACATTATTGTTGTTCATATTAACATTATCCAGATCATGAATTCATTTATAATTCACAAAGTGCTTTCACACTTTATGCCAAACCTTCCCACAAAAGTAAAATAAATTATAGTATACTAGGAAAATGGCAAAAATAATAAATTATAAAACTACCCCAAAATCCTAATGTGTCCATTATTAATCAGTCCTTGGAAGTATGTACTCATGAGTAATAGGCTTACACTTCACTATATAAAATGTTCCTTACAATTTCAAGTAAAGTGGAGGTAATTCTACCTTGGTTCAAACTCCATAACTGGTGCTGAAAATGAACAAAGAATAGATTCTGATAGAACAAGATTATGTTTCTGTGTGTCTTAATCACTCTCCTTTAAGACTAGAAACCTTTAGATATTGCTACATCACAAGTTTAGCAGAACTGATTTCTGTTGGCAAATATCAAGTTCTGACTTGAGGGATGAGAGGCAAACACTGGGTTCCAACCTGTCCTGGGCCTTCTTCATAGCCTCCACTCTCTGTGATGGGCTACAGTGCTGAGAACACAGATGCAAGTCCTTTCCACAAATTTGTTACATTCAAACCAAGTGATTATAGGACCATTGTCAGAAATTCCAGTGCCAGGGTTGTAAATTATTGTCTCAAAGCTATACTGGTGATTGCCATTGCAGAAATTTGGGGGAAAACTCAAAGCATATGAAGCCATTTTTAAAAGAATTCTACAACAATTGAGGAGTTTGACTTCTGTACTCACTCTTCAATTCCAAAATGAATTCCTGACTGGGCTTCCCAGCGAAGGTGTCTTTGTTGGATTAGACCAAGTAGAAAAAAAAGAAAAGTCCTTTCCAGTGTTTTCCATATCAGAGTCAATTCCAGGCCACAAGACACAGCTTTTAGCCAATGTCTTCATGTGAACACATCCCAGATGTGCTAAGTTTAACGGAGCCAAGATAACTAACAATCACCTTCTGAAATTACAACAAAACATCTCCATAAAAAGTCATCTTCTGTGGCCAGAGAAGTAATGCTGACAGTTTGTGAATATCTGGGAGGATAGCTTTTATCCTGACCACTTCCTGTTGCACCAACTCCAATGGATCAAAAATTAAGAAGCTTAGAAATTAGTGACTTTGGTGGGTAGAAAAGATAACAAAAATTTATTAATGTTAGAAAGGATGGAAGACTTTCTTTGATTCTTGAGAGAGCACAAGACTGTTCGCCTTAATAGGAGGTAATAGCATTGGGAGTGAATATTTTAGCAATGTTAACTAATCTGCTCCCCTTTTCCTGGGAAATTTATATACTAATGTAATTTTTTTCCCACTGTGGACAGTATAATCAAGTCATCATCAAACTATGACACCACAACCAAAATCCTAGAAAACTGAGTCCTCAACTAAAAAATTCAAAAGGTAATAAAAATTGCAAATTAAAAATGCTTAATTTAGGGTTTCCCCTCAAAGACCAACTATTAGCTACGAATAAGCTTGGACAACACCTTCAAGGGTGCTATTGCATGTGCCTATAGACCTCACATAGTCTTTTAACATTAAACTTGATGCCATTATCCTAATTGGTGTTTCCTTAGCCTTTTCATTTAAAGACAGCATGTCTGATTAGATATTTTTCCTCATTTGGATTCCCAGGGGTAAAAAGCTACATCTTTAATTTCAAATAAATCATTTTAACAGCTGTATCCTAATGGAATTGCATTAGGCCCATCATTATAATCAACTACATCATCAAGGAACTCCTCTGGGAAAAGGTGACTAATCTCCCTATAATGTAGCTGTCTAATGGTTT